TATGAACTTGTGACCAGAAAACAATGTGACATTGCTAAATGGAAAATGCTTGTCGATGAAGTACGAACGACACATAATGAGGGGAAGATACATAGATATTTGAATGAGCTATTAGTCGGTTATTTAGCTGTTACTGATGTCCCATCGTGTACACTCTACAGGGAGCTGATGAGTATATATCCTAATGCAAAGGTACGATAATTGGTATATTATTATGATTTACGATTTTTGAGAATTTATACTCACTGTGAAGCATTGTGAAAGTCGTGAATGACTATTCGTTATAAAACTGTAATGAATGGTTTAACTCGGCTGCTGAAAGTTAATATTTATGTACTTATAACATTAAAGTTCAAGATTGAAGTTATCTCGAAAATTTACTCAATCGCTCAAACAAACGTTATTCCTAAAATAGACCAAAATAATGTTTTGGTATATATCTTTGATTTTTAAAATGCGTTATTTCTATATCGATAATACCTTAAATCTCGTTTTATACAGGTTGTACTAACAGTACGCGATAAAAACGATTGGTTGACTAGTTTCCGACAAGTGGTCATGCCTAAATCAGATGATCCACGTAAAATACACATGGATGAGGGGAAAAGACGTGCAGGGGTCCCCATCGAATTGGACAAACTGCTTACTGATTCATTGAAACTAGCATTTCAGAAGGAAGATATTGATTTTGATGATGATGCAATGTTACTTGAATGCTACGAAAAACATAACAAAACTCTTCAGGAAAATATACCACCTACACGTCTTCTGGTACATCGATTTGGAGATGGCTGGGAACCATTGTGTAGATTCTTGAATGTGGATGTACCAGCTAACATATCATACCCCGTGGCTAATAATCAGTCTGACTTGCAAAGGCTACGGGAATTAATAAAGAAATCTGGATCGATTGAGGCAGCCGCTAGAATGCATTCAGAAATTATATAAAATTGAATTAAATACTAATTGTGTTAAACCTTGATGTTATTATTAGCCAAAACATAAATTGTCACAAAGCTTTGAATTCCGTCTTCTTATTGACAATCATGACAATGTTAGTGAAATATGTAGTCAGTATAATATACTACAATTTTGAATTAATTCATTATTTTATTGTCACACATCACAATGTACATCGAAACAACTTGTTTATAACAGTCAAATAACTGAATGTAGGAATGATGTTATGAAGGTCGTCACCAAAAGATTCAGGTTTGTGAGGAAATATTTTGATAGCATTTGTGAGTACAGTGGATGTTTTTGAGCAAAGACATGAAAATATCGATTAAAGTTATACAGAACAAGATAGATCTCGAAGGTATTCAGTCGTTTATTCTACAAATAAAATTATCTAGTCTGTTTGACGATGTTCTGTTCGTAGGTGGTAATTGCTAAAGAGGTGACCGATACACTGGCTGACCTAATCTGCATTCGTTACTGTGTACGAAACTTTGACATTCATACGTATTTATCTGTGGACTACTCACCCAGCTTTACATTATGGCCAGTGGCTTCAGTGAAAGAGAATTTTCGCCAACTTCCAAGTCAACTAAAAGGTCAAATCCTGTAACTCCTACTTCTGACGATTCCGTACATCACAGTGTCATACGCATCTTATCCACAAATATCACTATCAATGCCTGACTGTTCGTGTCACAACCTTTCTTCCACTCAAATTAGCAAAAGTTATCAGAGTATCAGTCACTCCAATCACAATCAAGATGCCACAAATAGTAATAAATATGATATTAACAGGTTTATCACTCCTAAACTTTTCTCTATTCTTCGGGATTACAATTGTAATTACTCTAGGATAGAAAACATTTCGGAGATTATTCCCTCCCCCACCTGTTGAATAATCTCTTCAAACAACTTCATTGGCCCATTCTATATTTTCCGCAACGAATGTTCTCAACGAAATGAACTATCAAGGAACAAACATCCTGTCGCTTTAAGAACATCTCTATCGCTCCCTTCCAGTTGTATTAGCTCTGTGACTGACTCTTACGAACAATTAGCAAACACCTCATTCACTTACTCGTCCTGTTCTACCACAGCTGTTCCTGTGGATCTTAGGGATGAAGCATCTCTATTCCTTACAACGACTACCATATCTCTCAACAGAAGACCAGCGACTTATTATAAAGAATCATCCACAAATCTCAATCGCATCAACATTGAACTAAATAACCGTTCAATCATTAGATTGGATGCCGATTTATCTAATTTGATTATACCTTCATAGCTTTCAATCGTTTTATTCAGTTAACGCTCTTTCGGCAATAAGATGGGTAATCTCAGATCTCTAGCTTATCTGATCAATTCATGCTGTATTTTAATTACTGAAAACAAGTGCTCACATGATATTTTTTATTTAAGACTGTGTTGGTGACTACAAAATATATCTTTAAGGTTGGGGGCTGAATAATAAATGTGCAATCAGGTACTGTTTACGCTATAATTTTTCAGGAGGGTTGTAAATTGTTAGACGATGCTATATTATTCACCATAGATATTGTAGCGGTAAATAAATCCCCAAACTAAATAGCACTAAGTTTTCGACATTGGATGCTGACCATATGTTTTAGTGGACTCACCTAGCTGAAGGCGCTCGGTCAGGCATCCGCACCAGATCACGTGTGGTAACGCCGTGCTCAACATCAACCGCAATCGCTAACCAGATTAGATCAGAGAATTCCGATATATTGGTCATCGCCAAATATACTCTTCCGATCTCCTCGACTCTGTCTTTTGATTTCTCTGGGCGGGAACGAAATATATTAGAAGGTGTTACTGGTAGAAGCGTTGTCAAACACTGAATACCTGTGACATCATCATTGGTGAGCCCGACGTGATCTGGTACACCTAATTGCAACTGTGAGTCTGTTCCTTTTTGGGATTTTTATTTATCATTGCCTTATTTTTTTATTTTTTTTAAACATTGTGATTTTTTTTCGTGTTTTTTCCTGGATATATATATTTTCCCCTTGTTCATTATCGTACTTCATACTTCATCATGACTGAACAGACACCTAAAGTACTCAAGCTTAAGACTTTGTCCCCGCCTTCGTTTCAACTGATGCCTTTCTGGCCCGACAACATCGAAGCCTGGTTTTGCTACGCAGAAGCCGACTTCCACGAGCACGGCGTAATCGACACACGTGCACAATTCCTCGCAGTAGTCAAGGCACTACCGCGCGAATTCAACAGGTACGTAACACCTAGTATGTTTACTAGTGATGTTTCCGATCCTTACGAAATCTTAAAACGCTCGATTCTTAAACGAGGAGACCTAACCGATCGACAAAGGTTAGATCAACTCTTCAATAACATCGACCTGCAACACGGTTCTGCGACGGACATGTTGCAACGGATGAGAGAGGTAATAGGCCCAAGAACTTTCGACGAAGGCCTATTCAAACAACTCTTCTTGTCAAACACTGAATACCTGTGACATCATCAATATTTTCGCCCTTCAGCATTTCTTAACACGTTGCATCTATTGTCCACCGAATGCCGCTCGTCCAATGGATACACATGTGGGTCAAGTGGGGATCCATCACGTGGTCCTTCTTATTTCGAAAAATGCATCAAAGTACCAAGAACAAACAGTTGTGTTTTAATCTTGAGATTTGACTGGACTTAACCGCTCGAATTATGACAGAAGAAATCATGCATGCGTTGTTTTGATTATGTTCTTATGAAATTCGGAAACTAACAGGAGTTGCGAAAAACTTTCTTTGTTAAACATGGCTTTTCAGCTATTCTCAATATCCAATCTGTATTTAGCAATATTATAATCTTTCGGGTTGATCGCCTCCTCCCACTTCACCCTCAAGATGTTACATTTGGAGGTAGAGCAAATGTTTGGATTGCTTTATCAATACCATGATGTGATTAACGAACAATTGTGTTCCGCCATATGAACTTCGAAAAACAAGTACTTGTCATCGAATTCGAGTGCTGGAATATCTGACCCATTTTATTTCCAGATGATTACGGTTCAGTCGAGTGAGCTGATGAAATTGCGCTCGGATTATCCTTTTCACTAACATACTTATTCACACCCATTAAGTGGATTTCAGTGGATACTTCACCGTCTAATTGGTACATGGTGAATCATTTTGCACAAACGTATCCAAGATTGATTATCACTTATGAAAACACATGACCATTTAATTGCCTAGCCTTTCCTTTAGCCAACTACAATGAACGAAAACCTGATTATATGTTAACTTTCGGAGATAAATGGGTTTTGAAGAACACCAAAGTGTCACATGTGCTTCATCGGGATTATCGATAATATTCCATTTCATTTGAATGAGCAATGTGAGATACTGCGCAACACAGTTGCTTAGGCATTCAGCAAATGTAGTCAGGATGGAACGCGTAGCCAGCGGTTTCAACTCATGTACATTAGTGGACCTATTATTCACACCGAATTGTTACGGGAGAACTGAAGACATTTGGCGGATTAAAACCTTTTGTTGTACATTAATAATTTACTGTGATTTTGGATGTAATTGTTTTACCTAACTTGGAACTTGTTTGTTTATATCATTATTTCGGACATTTTGGTTTGGTATTTTGGTGCTCTCTTTGTCTTCGGTTTGGTAATTGGAAGTTTTGCTCCGGGAACCTACAAAATTGAAGGTTTGTTTTGTAATTGTTATAATTATTGTTGTTAGAACGACATTTGGTCGATTATTTGTGAATTACGAATAAATTTGGTATCTAAATTGGAACTTGGTTCTGTTGTTAATTTGGGTTCGTAATTTGCAAGTAGATCGATAGTCCGTACTTCAATAACTGGAACGAGCAAAACTTGGACGTAACATAAAGTTCTTCAATTATTGGTTCTGTGTTCATACCTTGGATTTGTCTGGATATTTTGGGTGCAGATTCCTGGTCGATTTCGTTTGGATTAATTCAGAATTGTTTTGGTAATCGATTTCTTTGGAACAATCAATACGATGGAAACGCGGAGCAAAAGGCTGAAGGAAAATGACAAAATGGATGGTAAAATTCCTAATGCTGTTTGTGGTATGTCTGATGTTAATGATGATAAATGTGATGATGTTAGTCTTAATAGTATGTCCTCTAGCCAGCTAAGTATTTCTAGATTAAAGTTAGATAAAGCATTACTGAGGAAAAGGGATTTAGAGAAGAGACTTGAGTTAGAACGGCAACTTAAGATGTTAGATCTACAAGAAGAGGTTGATATCGCTGAACTAGAATGCAAGGCCATCGAGGACGACGAACGATTACCCGTAGATAAATGTGGGATAAATGCTAAAGTGGAAAATTATTTGGATTGTGATACTGGGTGTAATAATCACTCAGGGGAGGTATGTAACATCTGAAAAGTCGATTGGGTTGGGGAGCTGAAGGACACGTTACATACAATGGTTAGTAACATGGTTTTACCTAAGATCGATATGATGTACTTTGATGGGCAACCGGGTCAGTATTACCGTTTCATTAGTCAGTTTAATAGCCTTATAGATAGTAAACTGTCAGGTAAGGGCCAATTGTTATCGTATTTGTTATATTATTGCAAGGGAAAGGCCAGAACAGCAATTGAATCTTGCGTTTCTTTGCCCAGTCATTTGGGCTCTGATAGGGCTAAACGAATTTTGTATGATTTATTTGGTAAAGAACATCTTGTTGCACGAGAACTAATTATTGAGTTATTAAACCATAAACCTGTCGGAGGATCGGCTGACGTGTTAACTGACTTTGCGATTAAGTTGCGAAATGTATGTATAACGTTGAAGCAAATGGGATATATGTCTGACGTTAATTCTACGGCTAATTTGTAGGTAATAGTTTCATGCCTACCACTGGAATTGCAGAATAAGTGGGTGGAAGTCGCCAATAAGATCATGATGCATGGGAAGGAGCCGAGCTTTGAAGAATTTGTGGTCTTTGTAGAAGAGAAAGCCAGAATTGCCCAAACCCGTTATGGTAGATTAGTACAGTGTAACTCAAGGTTCGGTAAAAGGAATTCTGAAGGCCAAGCTGATAGGAGATCACGCTTTCATGCAATTAGACGAGACCCAAATAACTCAGTCAAGGTAACACGTGAAATCTGCGTAGGTGATCATGAGGCGACAGATTGTCCAAGGTTAGCAAAAATGAATGTAAAAGAAAGGAGGCAGGAGGTAAGAAAACGTGGTCTATGCTACTTATGTTTGAGGAAAGGTCACATAGCTATGACATGCAACTCAGGCATCAAGTGCGACGTTGAGAATTGCAAGGTTAGGCATAATTCATTATTGCATATTGATAGTATTGATAACCATGTGGTGAACCTAGCTAAGGATTGGAACTCCTCAAAGGTTTGTTTGGGGATCGTTCAGTTCAGACTATACGGTCCCAAAGGATGTTTGGAAACATATGCACTTCCAGATAGTGGTTCGGACACTTCTCTTGTATGTGAAGAATTAATTAATCAGATGGGTATCAAAGGTGAAGAGACTTCGATAAAGGTGGCGACTGTGAACGGAACTACTAATTGTGAATGTTTGGAGGTAAATTTAGAGGTATTTTCATTAGATGAACGGGGTTCTATAAGGATCAACAAAGTTTACACGACCAAGAAACTTCCGATCGATCATGCAGCACCTTTAACCGAACTCCAACTGAAACGGTAGAAACATCTAAAGGACATAACCCTTCCGAGGTTGCAAAGTAATTTTGTAGGAATATTGATTGGGTGTGATGCTCCGGATGCACATCGGGTCCTGGAACAACGCCTGGGGGACAGGAAGCATCCGTTTGCTGTGCGTACTCATCTTGGTTGGATGATTATAGGTCCTAAGGGAGTATCAAGGTCTCTACATCAAGTTCAGTGGTGTCATTGTTCCACTGATGATATTTTGCGAGATTTAGAAGGACTATATTATCATGAGTTCGAGGATACAGATACGTTTCGTAATGGATATTCTGTCGAAGATAAAAAAGCTCTAGAAATAGTTAGCAGTTCGTTTAGATTGGAGGGTGGTCATTTCCAAGTTGGTCTACCATAGAAGTATGATAAACCAAGGCTACCGAATAACTTGGAACTGGCTGAACGCAGACTAGAATGCTTAAGGAAGAGGTTTATGAAAGATAACAGTCTTTTGGAGAAATATCAAGTTGTGATGAATAAACATTTAAGTAAGGGCTACATCATTGAAGCTAGTGAAGAGGGATTTGACTATGGTGCTGTTTGTTGATATATTCCTCATCATCCTGTTATCAACCCTAAAAAGCCTGGAAAATTGTTTTTGATTGTGCGGCTGTCTATCAAGGTTGTTCTCTTAATGACCAGCTTTTGAGAGGACCGAATACTGTAAATAGTTTAATTGGTGTACTTCTACGATTCAGATTAGGTAACGTAGCATTAGCTGCTGATATCGAAGAGATGTTTCTTCAAGTAAAGATTCCGAGACAAGACAAGGGAGCATTTCGTCTATTGTGGTGGGAAGACGGTGATATACGACGAACGGCTAAGGAATATTGTTTAACAGTTCATCCGTTTGGAGCCGTGTCCTCTCCCTTTTGCGCTAATTTCGCTCTTAAGAAGACGGTAGATATGTTCGGTAAGGAATTCAATGAAGATATCCAGGATGTCGTAGATAAGAGTTTCTATGTCGACGACTATTTAGCCTCTATTAATAATGTACAGGATGAAATTGAGCTGGCAAAGGCCCTTGGTTCTCTCCTCAGAAAAGGTGGTTTTAGACTTACCAAGCGGATAAGTAACTGTTTACAAGTTCTCGAATCAATTCATCCAGAAGAGAGGGCAGAAGCCGTAAGACAGATTGACTTTGAAAGACTTCCTACGGAACGCACGTTGGGATTATTTTGGAATACTATGGTTGATTCGTTTGAATTTGAAGTTCACATACCGAAGCGCCCCCTCACTAGGCGAGGTATATCGTCAAGTGTAGCCTCACTTTACGATTCTCTGGGATTGGTAGCACCGTTTATACTTCCCATGAAGCAGTTACTTCAACGTTTAGGTAAATCGGGACTAGGATGGGACGAAGAGATTCCAAATGAGGAAAGCAAACGTTGGTTAGAGATTATAAGTGAATTTCAGAGGGTTGAGAACGTTAGTTTTCCACGTTGTGTATTGTTTCCGCAGTCAGATCGTTCGCTCCTGGAACTTCATATTTTCAGTGATGCCTCGGAAACTGGATATGGTGCAGTGGCATACGTCCGCTCTTACATTTCTGACACTGAAATATGTTCTCATCTTGTTACGGCTAAGACAAGAGTAGCCCCCTTGAAGGTCCAAACTATACCGCGCTTGGAACTTACGGCAGCAGTTTTAGCAGCTCGCATGGGATCCCAGCTGCAGTCAGAATTAGATATTAAGTTTGCAGAGGTTAATTTTTGGACGGATTCCATGATTGTCTTACACTATATTAGAAATGAGAAAAGCCAGTTTAAAACATTCATAGCGAGTCGAATTTCGACTATTCACAGTCTTACTAAGGTGGACCAATGGAGATTCGTACCTTCTAAAGAAAACATAGCAGACTTTGCATGCAGAGGGGTCAAGTTTGACATCGATGATGTCAAGGTATGGGAGGAGGGTCCACGCTTTCCTAAGAAGCCGAAGGAGTGTTGGCCTGCCGCTGATGTACAAGGTCCTGACCCCCATCTCTTGGAAATAAAGAAGACAATGTCGGCGCATGTAATGGCTGAAGAACCCACTGTTGATCAACTTATTAATTATTATTCAGATTGGACTAGATTACTTAAGGCTGCTGCGTGGTTAACCCGATTTAAGCGATATTTACTGGTAATGCGTTCTGGTAGAACTGATCTGTGTCTACAGGTGGGTATGCTTAGATTTGATGAGTTAAATTTCGCTTGTTTAGATTTAATTCGATATGTCCAACACATAGTATTTCGGGAAGAGATTGAAATGTTATCGTCTGATACCATTAGCAAGGTGAAGATAACGAATTCACCGTTACGAACTTTAAATCCAATGATGATTGGGAGAAGGGCTCTATGTTCTGCGGACTCGAATAGTTGTTTGTGTGTGAATATGCAATGGTGCCTGAAGCCATGTGTTATGGTTATTCACTTTCTAAAAGAACTAGAAGGGTCCAACAATGTTACGATTTGGAATCAGAATAAAGAGTTCGCGGTAAATAAAGGAATTAATGGATTGGTCCTCTATATGGGTTTATATATCCATGTTTACGTTAGCGTATATGAGCTTCTATGGAGGATGAAGCATTTTGTTAGATGGTTGATATTGCGGTTGTTTATGTTGGGGCAAATATTTTGGAAACGTTTGTCTAAAGAATATGTTTCATTGTTGCAACTTAGACACAAATGGACTCAACCAAAGATGAACATAGGAGAGAGTAACTTGGTGACATGTACTGGGTTTTTAGAGAAAGACAAATGGTTATTAGGTCTGGTAAGGAAAGTGATACCTAATAGTGATAGGTTAAGACCGATGGAGTTGCGGACAAGCGAAGGGATCTTGGTAAGAGATATTAGAAAACTGCGTCTAGAAGTTGAAGATATTAGGTAGCTACTCCGATCCCTAGGCGTACTGGTGTAAGTCCTAGGGATCACGAGATTGTTGGTATATTAAGTGTCTGTTGTTGATTGTTTGTGATGCATATACTTGGATTCTTGTTGTCTATTTATTTGCCTGAAAGAACCAAGCTTCTTTTGGTCGGGAGTGTTACGGGAGAACTGAAGACATTTGGCGGATTAAAACCTTTTGTTGTACATTAATAATTTACTGTGATTTTGGATGTAATTGTTTTACCTAACTTGGAACTTGTTTGTTTATATCATTATTTCGGACATTTTGGTTTGGTATTTTGGTGCTCTCTTTGTCTTCGGTTTGGTAATTGGAAGTTTTGCTCCGGGAACCTACAAAATTGAAGGTTTGTTTTGTGATTGTTATAATTATTGTTGTTAGAAGGACATTTGGTCTGTTGATGTCACAGATATTCAGTGTTTGACAACGCTTCTACCAGTAACACCTAATATATTTCGTTCCCGCCCAGAGAAATCAAAAGACAGAGTCGAGGAGATCGGAAGAGTATATTTGGCGATGACCAATATATCGGAATTCTCTGATCTAATCTGGCTAGCGATTGCGGTTGATGTTGAGCACGGCGTTACCACACGTGATCTGGTGCGGATGCCTGACCGAGCGCCTTCAGCTAGGTGAGTCCACTAAAACATATGGTCAGCATCCAATGTCGAAAACTTAGTGCTATTTATTTTGGGGATTTATTTACCGCTACAGATCACTCCCCCCCCTAGTGGGGCAGTGACGACCCCGAAGACGTGGCCAGCCAGAGGTTTAAACCCAACGAGTTTGTCGTTGGTAAACACTCTTCTGATAGCTTACTAAATTTAGCAGCGTCTGGTCGTCTTTCCTTACTATATGGGACGGAGGTACAACATAGTAAAAAAAGAAAATGTACATGGAAAATTTCGGATCCTCATAAACGTCATCGTTCTTTTCCAGCCGTCCTGGAAAAGAAAAAAGAAAATGTAAGTGCATGTCGAAATACACTCGTATGTGCGTAAAAGCACAATGTCGGCGGAAAAAAATGGAAAATAAACTCATGAACACGTAATAGCGTTAAAAAAATTGTTTTTTTGTTTTGTTTTTTTTTAAATAGAAATAAAAATATATAAGCATATTAAAATTGTTTTTTTTTAAAAAAAATAATATAAAATGTCGAGAAGTGCCTTACGTGCAATAGTCGTTTAGATGTTCTGGAAATCTCACCCTTCTTCCAGAACGCGTCGTTTTAAGTTTATTTTCGGATACTGTCGAAGTATCATCGTGTGTGTTGGTTGTCGGATGAGGTATTATAAGTGTCGGAGTCGTGTCGTTCGATTGTACCGAAGGAAAATCCACGTAGATAGGATTTCCTTCTAAATACACTGCTTTTAAGCGATCGATACTGATGCTATCGTTGGTTCCGTTCTTATCGACTATATAGTACTTAGATTCACGTTGAAGAACTTTGAAGGGTCCTTCGTATGCTGATTCGAAGGGTCGTCGATGCGAGTCTCGACGAACGAAAACGTGTGTACTATATCGTAAGCCAGGTTGAACGAAAACATCAGTTGATTGAGGTCGAGTGGAAGGAGGTTTAACTGAACGCATTGCGTTTGTAAGCCTGTTCGTGTAGGAGGTTAGATCCATGTTCATTGAAGAGGATGAAGGATCCACGAATTCTCCTGGAAGTCGAAGTGTCGTACCATAAACGAGTTGAGACGCAGTGTATCCAATGTCAGCTTTCACTGCATTGCGGATACCTAGTAAGACGAGTGGAAGAGCGTCGGTCCACTGTGAAACGTTTGCAGCTGATAGCGAAGCTTTCAGTTGTCGGTGAAAACGTTCTACCAACCCGTTTGCTTGTGCATGGTAGGCGGTCGTTCGGAATCGAGTGATTCCTAAAAGTGTGGTCAGACGACGGAAAAGATCGGATTCAAACTGACGTCCGCGGTCTGTAGTGATGGTTGAAGGGCAGCCGAAGTTTGCTACCCATCGTTCGACGAAGATGCGGGCCACTGTTTCAGCAGTGATGTCCTTGATAGGTACTGCTTCTGGCCATCGAGTGAAACGGTCTACGCAGGTTAAGAGATAAGAGTATCCATTTGAATCTGGTAAAGGTCCTACCAAATCCAGATGAACATGGTCGAAACGAGCATCGGGAGTTTTAAACGAGCCTAAGGGACATTTATTGTGTCTGATAACCTTAGATTTTTGGCAGCTTACACAGGAGCGTGCCCACTCCCTCACGTCTTTATTCATTCCAGGCCAGCAAAACCTTTCTGCTATAAGCTTGATGGTTGCACGAACACCTGGATGCGAAAGTTTGTGCAATGTGTTGAAGACATTGCGTCGATAATGTTTCGGCACGATTGGGCGATCCCTACCTGTAGATGTGTCACAAAGTAAGGTTTCCTTACCCGTTCCCATCTGTTTGATGCGTAGTTTAAGTGTTGTGGACGATAACTCGTGCTGAAGATCACTGTCTTCTTTTTGAAGCTCGGCGAGTTTAAGAAGGTCGATTCCTTGGAAACTGTTCAAGGAAGTTATACGAGATAAAGCGTCTGCAACTACATTGTTTGCTCCAGAGATGTGTTGAATATCTGAAGTAAACTGCGAAATGTAGTCCAGTTGTCGAGACTCACGTGGAGAGTACTTGTCAGAAAGAGAGCTTAACGAGAAAGTGAGCGGTTTATGGTCCGTGAAAAGAGTGAATTCACGGCCTTCGATGTAGTGTTGGAAATGCCGTACAGCACAATACATAGCTAGGAGTTCCCTACCGAATGTGCTGTACCTCGATTCGGTGTCTAGCAACCGTCTAGAGAAAAATGCCAAGGGTTGCCAGGAGTTGTTAACCCATTGTTGTAAGACTCCTCCGATTGCCGAGTCGGATGCGTCTACTGCGATGCTAATGGGTGCTCGGGTGTCCTGATGTGCGAGCATCGTTGCTTTAGCAATCAGTTCCTTAACTGTGGAGAATGCTTTTCGTGCCGTGTCGTCCAAATTAATGGATTTCGCATTTCCACGAAGTTGGTCGGTCAGAGGTTTCATAAGTAATGCGCATTTCGGTATGAAACGTCTATAGAAACTTACCAGGCCGTTAAACGTGCGTAATTGCTTGACAGTGGTCGGTTCTGGGTAATCCAGAATGGCCGCCACTTTGGTCCTAAGAGGTCGAATGCCTTGAGCATCGATAGTGTGTCCTAGGAAGTCTAACGAGTCGGTTCCGAATTGGCATTTCTGAACGTTTACAGTTATGCCATGTTTTTGAAGTCGTTCGAAAACAAGATCCAGATGCTTGAGATGTGTTTCTCTGTCCGGACTTGCGATTAGACAGTCGTCAACATACGCGTGTACGAAGTTGAGACCTCGAAAAACGTCGTCTATGAATCTTTGGAATGTTTGAGCAGCATTCCTTAGACCGAAAGGCATTCGCAAAAATTCATAGAGTCCGAAAGGAGTTATGATAGCTGTTTTCGGTATGTCGCCAGTAGCCATAGGGATTTGGTTATACGCTTTAACCAAGTCGATTTTCGAAAAGACAGTTGTACCTTTCAAGGTAGCTGTCAAATCGTGAATGTGAGGCAACGGGTAACGATCGGGAATGGTTTTCGCGTTCAATCGCCGATAGTCACCAGTTGGACGCCAATCGTTGCTGTCCTTTTTAGGGACCATGTGCAACGGAGATGCATATGGGCTACTTGACGGTCGTATGATTCCTAAGTCCATCATGTGATCGAATTCGTTTTTCGCTAACCTTAGCTTTTCAGGAGCTAGTCGTCGTGCTTTAGAGAATACAGGTGGTCCTGTAGTCGTGATGTGATGTGTAACATTGCTGGTTACACACGGTAGTTTCGGTTGAGTTTGTTGTATCCCAGGGTACTTATCGAGTAGTGGTTGATAGAGTGGGTCTATCATATGTTTAACTGTGACTGGGGATACTCTACAACCAGTAAAGGAAGTTACGCAAACGGACAAATTAGTGTTTCCGTCTACTAGCCTCCGTTTGCGAGTGTCGATGATCAGATTGTGGTGTTGTAGAAGGTCCATACCAATGATTGGCATAGAAACATCTGCAACAACGAAAATCCAGTGGATGGGTTTGCGTAAACCCACGTTAAGATAAACGTACCTTTTGCCATACGTAGCGATAGGTTTTCCGTTTGCCGCCTGTAAGTTAAAAGCCGATTCCTGAAGCCGGTCGTTAGGATTTGCTGGGAGAACGCTAACTTCTGCGCCAGTGTCGACGAGGTAGCGAACTCTCGTTGTCACATCTGTGACGAATAACAGACGGCTATGTTCGCCGGCTACGGTTGCCGTTAACGCGTGCCGGCTTGGAAGTTTCCCGAAATGCTTTTCGAATCAGTCGGTTTCGTGTTGGGAAAATTGCAGGGTTTTCTGCAATTTCTGGAAAACTTTCCATACTGGTTATGATACCAGCACCAGTCGGGGTTATCTGTCTCTCGTGGTCTAGAGACAGATCGCTTACGAGAAATGCTTCTACGTGGTGTGCGCGATCTCTTACGGTCGGTACGAAGACTAAGATAACGCGTGAGTATGTGACATAGGTCGTTTATATCATTCTGAGTCGTTTGAGGTTTTTCTTTGACTGAAAATACCTCGGTAGTAGATTTCGTAATTTCTAATATGCGGTCGGCAGATGCAGCTAGCTCGTCTAAGGCATTGTTCTGGAACGAGACCAGAACTGCTTGCACCTGTTGGGGAAGTTTTGACAAGAAGAGTTGTTTGAATAGGCCTTCGTCGAAAGTTCTTGGGCCTATTACCTCTCTCATCCGTTGCAACATGTCTGTCGCAGAACCATGTTGCAGGTCGATATTGTTGAAGAGTTGATCTAACCTTTGTCGATCGGTTAGGTCTCCTCGTTTAAGAATCGAGCGTTTTAAGATTTCGTAAGGATCGGAAACATCACTAGTAAACATACTAGGTGTTACGTACCTGTTGAATTCGCGCGGTAGTGCCTTGACTACTGCGAGGAATTGTGCACGTGTGTCGATCACGCCGTGCTCGGAGAAGTCGGCTTCTGCGTAGCAAAACCAGGCTTCGATGTTGTCGGGCCAGAAAGGCATCAGTTGAAACGAAGGCGGGGACAAAGTCTTAAGCTTGAGTACTTTAGGTGTCTGTTCAGTCATGATGAAGTATGAAGTACGATAATGAACAAGGGGAAAATATATATATCCAGGAAAAAACACGAAAAAAAATCACAATGTTTAAAAAAGTTAAAAAAATAAGGCAATGATAAATAAAAATCCCAAAAAGGAACAGACTCACAGTTGCAATTAGGTGTACCAGATCACGTCGGGCTCACCAATGATGTCACAGGTATTCAGTGTTTGACAACGCTTCTACCAGTAACACCTTCTAATATATTTCGTTCCCGCCCAGAGAAATCAAAAGACAGAGTCGAGGAGATCGGAAGAGTATATTTGGCGATGACCAATATATCGGAATTCTCTGATCTAATCTGGCTAGCGATTGCGGTTGATGTTGAGCACGGCGTTACCACACGTGATCTGGTGCGGATGCCTGACCGAGCGCCTTCAGCTAGGTGAGTCCACTAAAACATATGGTCAGCATCCAATGTCGAAAACTTAGTGCTATTTATTTTGGGGATTTATTTACCGCTACAAGTCGATTATTTGTGAATTACGAATAAATTTGGTATCTAAATTGGAACTTGGTTCTGTTGTTAATTTGGGTTCGTAATTTGCAAGTAGATCGATAGTCCGTACTTCAATAACTGGAACGAGCAAAACTTGGACGTAACAGAATATTGTGAAATATTCAATAAACTCATTAAATCCTTCTCTCGAATGTGGTTATGATGGATTACTGGCCAATTTAACTAAAAATGGTGTTTCTGATACATGTCCTGCTTGTTAAAATATTTAACCTGTGCTTTTGTTGTGGCTTCTACTCCTAGCAGTTCATCAGTCAGTCAGTCAGCTACAACGTAGGACCAGGCACATATGTGCATCGGCCCAGGTTGCCATACCTCATTAGCACAGCAAGATGAACACCGGATTCATAGGAGTGGTTAGGTCAAAGGTTGCAATAAGGATATAGTATAGGAAGAAAGAATTAGTTCGTAGACAGAAAGAATGAAGTGATTTTAGTCTCTTAGTTTAAGGGAAGACAGGGAGTGTATACACCGACGCCATTGTGATCGATTCTGAGCCATGTCACCAAGAGTCTCCAACCATTGGTTACGATTGTCACGCGGACCCCAACCAAGTAGTCTGCATCTACCAACATGGCTCAGACTAGAAGTTAGTGACTTCAGGCACTGATGCCACGTTTTGGTTTGGCCGCCCCTAACTTTCTTCCAACCACCACTAACACCGGTTAGCATTGCACGTCGTGGTAATCGGTGTTCAGGCATACGTAATACGTGGCCCAACCATCTCAGTCGATGAAGATTCATAACCTCATCAACTGATTTGCCATCATTCCCTAATACCCTACGTCTAACCTCACTATTACTTACCCGGTGATCCCAGCAGATGCCAGCAATATTTCTAAGGCATCTGTGGTCAAATACTAGTAGCTTACGGGTGTCTTCTACTCTTAAGGGCCATGTTTCGCTGCCGTAAATTAAAACAGTTCATACGCCAGTTGTATAATATAAAATGATCTGGATAAACTCCAAGAATAATGTGATGCATGGTTCCCGTTTCTTCATGACAAAAAGTCTATGTGCATGTATTTGGACACGCTTAGTCCGCATGTAAGCTTGTTGCTGAACAAGCTGTAATTCAGACAGCTATGTAGCATTTGCGACCTAGGAGTGAATTATTCCAAATGTCTTTCATTCGTCGAAAAGGCTACATTCCAAGTCTTCGTAGCTCGTAGATATATTGAGTTTATCAACTGTCATTTCCAAAATAACCCGCTGTCGGGCCAGCGAAATGTCACTAAGCCATAGCCAAATCATCCGGCAGTTGGGTCACTGGATATTGAGCAAATCACCGATCCTAGTCAAGGTCAGTGACAACCAGCGCGCATCAGTTAATCGTGTACCATGGACTGGCCCATGCGGCAGTGGTCTCACTTTCGCTTGTATCTACTTTAACTAATATATTTCTGTAACGACGTCCCCTGTGTTGTACAGTCTTCAAATCATCTATGGTACCTTGGTATGTTAATGGGGTAGTCCACGTAAGGTGCTGACCATGAGGTGTGACTTCGATGTTAGCTAGTTTGTCACACCATTCACGTCTAACTCGAGTAGGCCTGCAATCATTTTCGACATAGATCGTCTACGTTGATGATCTACACCGCTACAAGGTATCTGTTCGAACTCCAATAAAAAACTGTCCGATAATATCCAGTTGCGTGCGTTCCATTGATTGACAGAAAATTGAGGAAGTAAAGCGTCAACATCTAACCAATTGGCACCTAGTGGCCGTTTCACAAATTGCAACTATTCCACTCCCGAATGACCTCTTTGTTCTGAAATGTCGAAGTTCAAACCGTGCTTTACTTATTTCCTCTTGTTATGCTTCATATTCCCTTTTCGTAACTCGAATAAATCTGCTCCATTTGATCTCGGCAACCATTGATCGTGTCACACAAATCGGGCCTTGGACCACGATCCAATAAAATCTAAAGATGTCACATGAACTTAAAACTTGACAATTCCTTAACCAGTAACATTCTTTATAGTCGAAACGTGCCGACCCAGTGAAATCATAAGTGAATGGATTTGAGGATTTATTTCATAGAAAATCGATATGTCGAGAAGTGACTTATCTAAGCTGGCTAGTGGATGTAGGAGATGTGAAGCACTCAATGGCCACCGCTACAACCGTAGTGAAATTAGAGACTGACCGGGTGCAAAATTAGAAACTGTTTAATCATAAGAAGACCAGAAAATATCCCAAATTATCGTTCGTATTCTACCAGTACGTAACATTTTATTATTACTGGTATGCGTTGTTTTTCTACCTAGGTATTGTCTTATTCATGACATTTGCAACCTTAAGCTCCACTTTCATATTCTTTGATCAGCTACCAAATCTATACCACGTATACTCTGAACATTACCTTATAACTGATACCAATAGTCAACTTCATAGCACTGGGATGTACTAAATCAATGTTCAACCGACATTACAAAGGCTTCAGACGTCTGATTTGCTTGTAGCATGAAGCTAGTAGTGTCAGAGTATTTCAACTATGTGTATAACATGGAGCTTCGATTAAAACAATATTGATATATACTTTAAATGTAAGAGAGTCCAACATCACATCAGGAGAGATAGTGATGTTTTTGGCGTTGGTGATCCCTACGGTCAAGTGGAATGTCACGAGCGAATTGAATTATGCTCTTTGACCCATGACTGTCTAAGTAGTCATACTCCAATTGTTCCACCATAAATGACTAAACTTCGCTATTCACGAACATTGTCCGTCTCGATTCTCGTACTTCACGTTTTCAGCACCCTCATTGTATACCAACGGAAACATTTGTGGAATATACGACTTAGTGCTGAGCCATCGCTTGTACCTCAGGAATTTATCTAGTACTACTATGGAGAAGGACAAACGTATACGTTTAAGACGACGTCTTCGACTGATTGCTCTGGAATTTAACTCCATTCGTTATCGACCATCGATTGCTTGTCGTAACGCCACACCCACGAAGCGCGCCGAATCTCATGTTGGACATTATAGTCATTCTAGCATTGTGCTCCGAACACGGACGACTTCAAGTTCTAGAGTTTCTGTCTATTTGATTCATGCAATTTACACAGATTACAGTGTCAATCTTACAGTATCTAATACTGACCACATTTGAAGAAGTACACTATCTCATGTTATGTTCGTGTCATTAACGAAATGAATAAATTGTTTATATTAGTGTACTCGTCGACATTTGACTAAGCAAGTATATATTCAAGATTCTAATGACTTTATCAGTCATCTTTCGCTTCGCCTACTTGGAAATCACTAAATATCATTTCAGTTCACTGGGACAAACTGGTATAAAAACAGTGGAACAATTTAGAAGTTCACTACTATATGACGTAATCGTTGATGACGCAAAGTAGATCAACATTTGAGATAATCCGTTAAAGTTTTATGCTCATAGGACTCAAAGTCACCACAAGTATTCACCTGAAACGCAAAGCTTAAACTTCACTTTGCCGCATATTCGTGTAACTCTTGTCCAATCACTGAAAAATGCCTTTTCTGATACGTGAAAATTGAAGAATTTGGCAGGTGACGTTGTATTCGTGTTGGGATTACCAATTGTAGCGTGGCGTCGAGTTGTGATTAACTATGAACACAGCTACCAAGAAACACGTGCCAAGCGAATCAGAAGGCGCAAGAAGCTCGTTCCAAATGACTCCATAAAATCCCCGAGAAGCCGAATACCAGAAGGCAATTAATGGACCAAGTCGATGTTTATTTGCTGGCGATCTCGTGGCATCGAAAGGATACCGAGATCGTGCCAGGATACAAGCTTGGTTACAGAACGTAACCGAATTTGCGCGAAGTCACAACCAAAGTGTAAGTATAAGAATGGAAGCACAAAATAGCTGTCATTAGCACAGTCAAACAAAAGCACGTTAAAACAAACACTGGTACAGTTGGT